GTGGATTCAATTTGTTTAACTGTTTGATTGATAACTTATTTATGTATGTTTATTGAGAGTATACGCTTAATTTTCATGCATGAATATGACGCTAGAATATAAGTGAGTTTCACCTAATAGTTACGAACTTATATTCACAAGTAGTGGAGGTTGCTTATAAACAATCGCGTTAAACGAATTCTTGGCATAAGTTTCATGCAATCATAGTAACGAATGCCTCGTCAACACTTATAATTTTCATAGAGCGTAATGATTCTTGCTTGTATCTCTATTATGCAATCATGTAGGGGACTTGTGGGGAATGTTTTGGGTTGTCGTATGCAATCATCCAATTCAATAACGTTAGGAAGATTTGAAGGTTAATTAGTGCATCACGGTTAACTTGGGGTGTTGAGAATTCATGGTTTATTGAAATGCAATTGGAAATCTTTTTATTATGCAAGTGTAACATGTGTGGAGATGAACCCCTTAGCTAGCCATCCCATCCATTCAATTCCATCACATTCATCTTTACAATCTCTTTTTAAATACAATCTGTGCAATTAGTTTAATTTCGTCCAAAACTCAATCTCCCCTTACTTTAGTGTCCAACTTAGTTAGAAAGTGTCTTAGGTTGTGTTTCTAAGTGTTTTGATTCATTTTATTACCCAATTTCGTCCAAAGTAGTCAAAGTGCTCAAAACTGCCCAGAAAGTGTTTTTAAGGCAGTTCTGAGTGTTTTGGGTGCTGTTTGAGTCTTTTGGTTTGTTTTAGTGTTTTAAGTGTTTAGTTTTGCATTCTTTGAGTCTAGTTTAGTGTTAAAGTGTCTTAGTTTGTGTTTATAAGTGTTTTGATTCAATTTATTACACACATTCGTCCAAATTCACCAAAGTGCTCAAAACTGCCCAGATTGTGTTTTTAAGGCAGTTTTGAGTGTTTTGGGGCTGTTTTGAGTCCTTTCGTTTGTTTTAGTGTTTTAAATGTTTAGTTTTGCAATCTTTGAGTGTAGTTTAGCGTTTTAAACTTTATTTTACGTTTTTGAGTCAGTTTCCAAGTGATTTTGCAATCCCTCCTAATCCCCGGTTAAGAACGATCCCTACTTATATCTATACTACAATTGTCAAAAAGAGGGTTTAATTTGTGTGCGTATAATTCTCGCATCATCGAACGCATAGGTGAAATGACCATTTTACCCCTAGTTTGTTTTATTATGTTTTTGGTTGTTTTGTGTGGTGTTGGCCAAAGTTGGACCACACACACACATCCTATCTCTATCCCTCACGCTCTGTCACTTCCTCTCTCTCTCCCGTGTCTCTCTCTCCCTTCCTATCACCATAAACATACGGACAAACACCAAACTCACCCAAACCAGCACAGATCGAGGGAACCAACTGCACCATCGAACTCGTGAGGCCGAGGGGAGTCCAGTGGTACCATTTTCAGGTAGGAACTCTGACGTTTTCACATCGATTTCACGAGCTCGGTTTTGGTTACTATTCATGCAAGTTTAATCTAGCTGGTTTTTGGACTTTTTAGGCTCGTAGATGTCTTTGTGAGGTTCCCAGGAGCTTGGGAGTAGCTCGTTGGGCTAATTTGGACGTCGGGATCGTCCTGTACGAAGTTGGCCGGTTTTTTATTTCGTGGACAGGTATGATTGCATAGTTTTTAGCCCTTAAAACTAGTCTATCGTGATTCTCCTAGGTCTAAGCGTCATTTTGGTTCAAGAATCTTGAAAAACGGTTGAAAAACGAGCGAGAAAACCTAAGTTGCAGGTTTTCCGGCGACGGCGACGGCGCCGGCGAGGGGGTCTGGCCGGAGAAGAAGGGAGAATATTCCGTTAAGGTTTAACGGAATATTCCTAACGGACGTTGACGGCGTCAGTTAGGTTTAACGGAATATTCCGTTGGGTTAAGGGAATATTCCTGACGGCGTCACTTGACGCCGTCAGTGTGCATGGCACGTGGCCGCGCGTGGGGGCGCGTGGGTCCGTGCCTGTCTTGGCGCGTGAGGGCGCGTGGGAAGTCCAAAAATTATTTTAAAATTATGGGTGTGATCGTGAGGTTGTGTAGATCACGTTGGTATATTCATTTGTCTATTTTGAGCAATGTATGAGAAGTTATTTTGAACGGACGGTTATGTGCTTTAAAGTTAACGTTTTTATAGTTAATTCGCATATAGGTGATACGTATCCCGAGGACGAGCGTGCACACTCGAGGCAGGGGGGCTACGACCCTTCCACATACCAGTGAGTGGGCTTTTGTTTTCCGTATATACCTATATACATATAAATTCCCAGAATAAGTATAAATGCTTCGTTTTATGCCATTCTTTTATATGATTGATGGTTATGCATGATTAGTGGCATATACGTTTAATTACATACTCATTTATGCAAATGTCATATATATTTATATGTTGGTGCTGTGGAGGCATAGGTAAGTGCCAGGTAAGCGTTATTTATCGATTGCATTAAATAGCGGTTAGAAATGCTTAGAGAGCTCATAACCTGCACCCCCGGTGTTAGTGCTCCCGCCCAGAGTAGGGCACAGTCCTTCACGTGTTGTTCACCTTCCGCACCACACGCTCAGCTTGAATCCAAGTTAGGTGCACAGTCTTGTCGTACAGACCACTTTAGGTGGTTCCGACTCGTAGGTGACCCGCGATTATTCGCACAGCCTTCACGTGATCGTAGCACTAGAGCGTTAATATGTATTACACCCAGGCCTGTCGTACAGACCACTATAGGTGGTTCCGACTCGTGGGCAGGTTTAGTTATTAAGTTTGAGATTTGAGCTCTAGATTCAGCCGTACAGGTCACTTAGGGGACTCCGGCTGTCAGTTTATTATGCTATTGATGTGATTTATACCTGAGCACATGCATGATATTATGAAGTTTTGTGATGGCATACCTTGAGCATGATTTGGTACATCTACGTATATGTGTTTATTTTTCTGGGAAGTATACAGGTTTTACGGCGAGGGGTTATAATGTATTTTATGAATTGGTTTTCAAAGAATTTGTTTTTGCCCACTCACGCTTTTGTTTTGCGCCCCTCCAGGTTCTAGTAGCTTAGCGGGTTTGGTGGTTTTTCCCGGAGGACGTCCCGGCATTCTGACAGACACTCACCTACGTAGGGTCACCTTCGGGTGCACTTTTGTTGTATCGTTTCTTTTGGACTGCTGTAGGCTTAAAGCTCTGAATTCAGCGTCTTACTTTAGCTAGCACATACTTTATCACATTATATTTGCTAGTTTTAAATTATTCGTACTTTTATATTACTGTTTTTAGCTTCCGCACTGTGCACATGGCTACGTCACTTCCACGTGACGGCCAGCATGCCCTGGCCTCGATTGGGGTGTGACAAATACACCTTAAAAATTAAGTGATACAAAGGAAGTGAAAAAGAATAGCCAAAAGTAATTAAAAAAAAAAAGATTTAAACACATTACACCACTCAGTGAATAACCCTCATAACATTGATTAACAAAGATATATTTTTTAACCAAAAGATAAAGAAAACACATTCAGAAAAACTGCTAAGTTTTTAAGATTCCTGATCATTGGAGTTTAAAAATCAAGTGATTCGTTTCTGCCTTTGCTGTTTAGAGGTCAGTCCCCCGCTGCGCTCTCTATCTCCCCCCTCTGAGAAAATTCACTTCTTCATTGGGTCTTCGAATTTGACCAAAAAGAAAACTGATTATTTTTTTTTCTTTCTTTGATTAAGAAAATTGGGTGATTCAGTTCTCCATTTTTGGAAAATTTTGAAGAATCAGGTGCTTGTGGAGAATGTGTGAGTTAATTTTTGAACTTTTTTAAAATACCATATAATTGCAAACTAATAAGGCAAATGGGTCGCCGAAATTCACTGCAAAAATGCTCCACAGAATTGTTGATTCTAACAAAATTGATAGAACCGAGTGGAAGTTTGTAAGACCCATTTGCAGGAAGGAAATGGGTGCTCTGTAGAAATTGAAAAGATAGAAAATTGATAGTTCTCATCTGCAACCACACTCCTTACATCCCCTGTCTCTTTCCCCAACCCTTCTTCACCAAATGACGCACCAGTCCTCTCTCCCCACAGCCAAGGAGCAACCAAATTCAACTCCAAAATAATAAAACTTAAAACAAAACTCTAAATCCACCAAAAACAAAAACCCCCAATAATTACATGTTTTTTCTAATGCTATGCTTTGAATCAATTGAGAGCTCACTGGCTTTGGGTTTCGTAAGAACTCCAAAGTTAAGCGAGTAGCGCGCGAGAGCATTCCCAGGATGGGTGACCCATCGGGAAGTTCTCGTGTGAGTTCCCAAAAACAAAACCGTGAAAGCGTGGTCGGGGCCCAAAGCGGACAATATCGTGCTATAGTGGTGGAGCGGGCCCGGAAAGTGGTCCCCCCAGGGCCAGGATGTGACAATTTGGTATTAGAGCCTAACCCTGGCCGTGGTGTGCCGACGAGGACGTCGGGCCCCTAAGGGGGGTGGATTGTGACATCCCACATCGCCCAGGGGAGTGATCCTTAAATGTATATTCTCATCCCTACCTAGCACGATGCCTTTTGGGAGCTCACTGGCTTCGGGTTCCATGGGAACTCCGAAGTTAAGCAAGTAGCGCGCGAGAGCATTCTCAGGATGGGTGACCCATCAAGAAGTTCTCAAGCAAGTAGCGCGCGAGAGCATTCTCAGGATGGGTGACCCATCGGGAAGTTCTCATGTGAGTTTCCAGAAACAAAACCGTGAGGGCGTGGTCAGGGCCCAAAGCGGACAATATCGTGCTACGGTGGTGGAGCGGGCCCAGGAAGTGGTCCCCCCGGGCCGGGATGTGACAAGGGTTGCTTTTTGTGACCAAAAGATCATGGACCTTGGAAACAGTCTCTTTATAAGGTAAGGGTAAGGCTGCGTATGCTAGATGTTTCTTTTCCAATCCTAGCAAAGCGGGAAGCCTTGTTGGCTTGATGTCCCGCTTTTAATTCTCATTAGAAATGAATAAACCAATTGTTCTTAGCAACTTTCATCACCTGAACTACCGGTATTCTGTATTTATTAATAATATACACACAACAGAACTAAGAAAAACTTTGTGCTATCGAGAACATGGGTAGAATTTCATGACAAAGAACACCGTAGGAAAGCTTCAACTTTGTACAGATTCATGAATCTTATGGTGTTATCGCGGCATGACGTTAGAAACTGTTAGGCCATTAATAGAACTATTACCAGCAGCTGTCTCAGTATAATGATCAGTGAATCTTCCCGTGGTGAAAGCAGGTTTCTCGGGTTGGCTAAGAGTTACAGTTTCACTTTTCAACATTACAATAGCAGAAGACATGGTTGGCCTATCATACGCGTCTTCCTGGACACACAACAATCCGATATGGAGATATCTTAGAAACTCATCTGGATCACATGAATCGAGCAGTAGTGGGTTGAGTAGCTCCAACCCTTTTCCGTCATGCCATAATTTCCATGCCTGCATCATAATCAATTGGATAAGCATTAAGCTGCTGTTTAATTGCAAAGAGTCTTGCTCCGAGAGAAGTGCATAAAGTAACTTACATATGTTACAAGGCTAGGAACACGTTTTATTGGATGAAAGCTGGCGTTCCTTCTCCCTGTTATGATCTCAAGCAATAGTACTCCGAAACCATAAACATCAGACTTGACGGAATATACTCCCTCCATTGCATATTCTGGAGCCATGTATCCACTATTCCAAGACCAAAATCCAGAACAAAATGTTGAGTACCGTAAGTTTCCCTCTAGTGGAAAGGAAAATTTAGAAAGGAAGCACTTACTAAGTCCCAACTATTGTAGTCGTATTTGCTTGGCCTTCACTTCCTGCAAGGATCCTTGCCATGCCAAAGTCGGAGATTTTAGGGTTCATGTCACTGTCCAATAAAACATTGCTAGCTTTCAGGTCTCTATGGATGATTTGAAGTCGAGAGTCCTCGTGTAAATAAAGAATTCCCCTTGCAATTCCACTTATAATGTTTACACGTCTGCTCCAATCAAGTTGCGCTCGTTTCTCTGAATCTAAGCATCATTGGAGGAGAATTTACAGACCAAAAGATTTCTGAGAATAAAATCTTAGCCATAGTATAAAACAGTTGAAGTTAGATCCCAAATACAGAAATTTTCGAGAGATCATAAGAGAAAACATACCAAAGAGGAAGACATTTAGGCTGCTGTTTGGCAGGTATTCATAGACAAGCAGTTTTTCCTCTCCCTCAACACAAAAACCCAAAAGCCGAACAAGATTCTTATGTTGAAGTTTCATTATCAGCAGAACTTCATTTGTGAATTCCTCCGAGCCTTGCTCAGAACAGCTTGAAAGCCTCTTGATTGCCACTTCTTTTCCGTCACTGAGTACACCCTTCAAAAAACCAGATTTTAAATCAGGCCACTGAAAATACTAACCAAGCGGTAGATGGTACTACAAATAACGATTTAATCTTCGTATGTGAACTTTTTGTCCATAGTTTTGTTAAAGAAACAGTTTGCTTTTACTTTTTACCTTGTAAACAGGCCCAAAACCACCTTCTCCAAGCTTATTTGAATCAGAGAATTTATCCGTAGCTGCATGTATAGATGCCAAACTGATATAGGGGTACTCCTCAGCTTTCGGGTTTCTGCCTTGAAGACGTTGTTCTGGGAACAATACATGTTGTCTTAAAGTCTCACTACTCACTGAACAGATCAAAAGAAAAGCTGCTTTCAGAAAACATATTAGAGTGATGATCAGCTCTAAAATAAGCATTTCCCAAAGCAGTATTTTACCCTTTTTGTTTCTTTTTCTTATTGCAAGATAGAAACAGGAACCCAAAAGTAGTATGGCTAGACATGCTGAAACAACCGTAAGGATCGTGAGCCACCATCCTCTACCTTCATTTGGAAACAACCAGGCATTTGCAGTTAATTTATAACATTGTAACGTCGAAATTGACACACACTTATAAAAGTACTCACCGTTCCCTTTGTTGTTATTCGGAGAGCTAGAAATAGAAGCTTCAGTTGCACCATTATAGAAGGCATACAATTCGTACCTCAGATAGCAACTCCGGCTCAAAAGCCGTGCACCAATGGAGAAATAAAACGCTCTCAAAACGTCTTCTATGGCGCGCTGAAGGCATTTATCACAGTCATCTCCAGATAAGTCTCTGGTGCACTGCACAAGAGCATATATCACTTTATCTTCAAATTGTACATCTCCAGTAGCATACATTTTCGCTGAAACATTATATGCGGCTCGCTTCGCAAGCTCACTCAGCTTCTCCCTCACGGTATACTCAAACTTTATTGGGTCTGAAACGCTTTCCTTGTTAGCCAACGGAATGTTGTCTGCCATATTCAATTCACCATAGAACTTCACATCGGAGTAGCGCAGTTGGCACGTCTCCTCCCACACAACTGATTCTGTTGAGTTGGGACAAATCCTCACAATGTCTAAATGCGCGGTGTTGATGCAGTTGTGACATGTCTCATTCGTAACATAATCGAGGCACATATAAAGGCCATAAACTCTATCTGGTTCATTTCCGGCGGAAGTATTGTACAGCTTGGAAACAGAAGCATTTGAAGGCAATGAATTGAGCAGGCTCTGGAGGTTTTTCTGAAACGTACTATTTTCGACATAACCGCGAACATCTGAGCACAACTTGTATGGAGGATCAGCATAAGCAAGATCAAAAAGGAAGGTGATGAGATAACAAAGCAAAAAAAGAGAGATTGTTTTCGGAACACTAGGGAAATTAGCCATGTTTTGATCTCTAATCATAGAAAAAGATTAGGGAAACTTATATATAGAGCTTTTAAGTCTTCTCCTTCCTGCTCGAAATATGGTTAAAAATCTCGGAGTACGAGCACCATTGAATTTTTGTGAATTGATAGGTAGTTTCTTGGAAGACTTGTTTAATTAAATTAGTTAACATCACGTCAGTACAAATTCTAAGAATACAAAGCCTTCGACTGGCTGTATTTTCCAGGAAATTGCTCACGGTTGGTCATGGTTTTGCTTGTAATTCAGTAAATGTCAGACCACAAGTTGAAAGATATATTAACTCAAAACTAATAGATAATGACAGAGACTTCTGCAAACCATGAAATAATATAATAGTCACACATGTTCTGCTGTGGTTTAATTATTTATTTATATACATGAAAGATTAGCATGTCCGATAGGTCACACAGCTAGAATTAAACTTCATTGCCTAGCCTACTCTCCATGTATGCATGCCTGATTTTCAGACAAATCTAATTGATATTATGAGTTTCATTTTCATTCAATTCTGTCGTAACAAAAAAAAAACAAAAAACAATCAAACTTTCAGAAAAGTTGGTAACTTATGTCTCAAAAATAGTTTGGCACTTGAAAATGGGCAACATTTTGAATTTTGTTTACAATATATTCTAGGGTAAAATATAAAAAAATACCTCAACTATTGGGGTCACGATAGTTTTATACCTCATCTTTTAAAATGGACAATGTCATACCGCATCTTACGAATTTGTGACAATGTTATACCTCCGTCAATTTTTATGTTAGTTTTTCTGTTAAGTGTTGACGTGGCTTGATTCGGAACCTACTTTCTATTAAAAAATTATTAAAAACTAAAAAACAATTATTTAATATTTTTTAAATATTAAAATAATAAAAAAAATAGAGAGAAAAAAAAAAAAAAAAAACCTCATTTCGTCCCTCCCCTCCCCCCTCCTCCCTCCTCCCTCCTCCCTCCTCTATCCATCTTCATCTTCTTCCCCCACCTGCAAATCCCAACAAAAAAAAAAAAAAAAAAAAATTCCAATTTGTCTTTCCCCACACCCACACCCACACCCACACTCTTCTCCCTCCCGCAACCCAGAAAAAAAAAAAAAAAAAAAAAAAAAAAAAACCCAGATCCCGTCGGCGGGAAGATGGGTGCGCAGAGAAGGTGGAGGATGGGTGCGGAAGAGGATGTGGAGAATAGATGAGAATGGTGGATTCCTTCCTCCTTTTTTTCCTCTTCTTCTTCTTCCTCCTTCTCCTTGTTCTTCTTCCGCTGGGGAGTTAATGGTTTTCAAAAAAAAAAAAAAAAAAATTTTCCTTCCTCCTTTTTTTCCTCTTCTTCTTCTTCTTCTTCCTCCTCCTTGTTCTTTTTCCGCAGGGGGTGTTGATGGGTTTTCAAATTTTTTTTTTTTTTCCTTCCTCTTCTTCTTCTTCCTCCTCCTTCTCCCTTCTTCTTCTTCTGCACCGACGTGGGTTTGGGGGGGGGGGGGGAGGAAATTTTTTTTTTTTTCCTTCCTCCTTTTTTTCCTCTTCTTCTTCTTCTTCCTCCTCCTCCTCCTCCTCCTCCTTCTCCTTCTCCTTCTTGTTCTTCTGGAGGGGGGTTGTTGGGTTTTCAATTTTTTTTTTTTTTTTTTTTTTTTGGGTTTGCAGGTGGGGGGAAGAAAATGAAGATGGGGAGAAGAGAGAGGAGGGGGAGGGGAGAGACGAACTGATGATTTTTTTTTTTTAACTTTTTATTATTATTTTAATATATTAAATATTTTTTTTTTAGTTTTTAATCATATTTTAATGATTTTTTAATAGAAAGTAGATCTCGAATCAAGCCACGTCAGCATTTAAATGAAAAGTAAACGGCTAAGCAACGGAAGGTATAACATTGAACCAAATTCTAAAGATGAGGTATGAAAGTGTCGTGACACCAATAGTTGAGGTAGTTTTTTGTACTTTACCCTATATTCTTTGTGGTTATTAGATCGTATTTATTTTATTATGAAGTTAATCAGCGTAAATAATTTGAAACCTTAATACGTTCTTATAAAGTATATTGAGATTATTAAAATTTTTAGATGTACATCCCAGTTTCGATCCATATTATTTCAGAATTTTGAAGGTCAAATTTCCTTTGGGTTCACCAAAATTGAAAGTTTTCTTTACCATCTTGGTCAGAAGTGATAAAAATCGAAATATCCAATCCAACTTGCGCCTGTTCTCAATAATCTATTGGCTTGGACTTTCAAGCCCAAGACCAATGTTTGTTGACCCAACGTGAATTTAGGAGACGAAAATGCCCTACATTCCAAAAGCCCTTCCGGTCAAACACGGTGGATACTGGATACGCAGGTTCAAACAATGTTTGTTGACCCAACGTAAATTTAGGGAAATTAGCCATGTTTTGATCTCTAATCATAGATAAAGATCAGGGAAACTTTTATATATAGCTCTTAAGTCTTCTCCTTCCTGCTCGAAATATGGTTAAAAATCTCGGAGTACGAGCACCATTGAATTTTTGTGAATCGATAGGTAGTTTCTTGGAAGACTTGTTGACTTAAATTAGAGGAAAACTAATGAAAATGATTTGAAAACTTTTAGTTTTAACATAAGAACAAAATAAAGAGTAAAGTGAATAGTAACATGATTGATTTTTTAGTGTAAAAATATGGTTTCTCGTTAAAGTGAATAGTACTATAGGTTTTTCGTTAAAACTCTCTTATATTAGTTAACATCACATCAGTAAAAATTCTAAGAAAACAAAGCCTTCGATTGGTTGTATTTTCCTGGAAATTGTTCACGGTTGGTCATGGTTGTAATTAAACCTGTAAACGGGTCGGGTTCAATCCGACCTATTCGGTTAACGGGTCACTTGAACCCAACCTGTTAAGGTTAACGGGTCACCCGAATCCGACCTGTTAAGCTAACGGGTCATCCGTTTCACCCGTTAACAACTATTATTATTATTTTTTTTTTTTTGCATAGTTAATTTTTTGTTGTTAAGATTTTACTGAAATTACTAAAACATCCTCAATTAATGAATGCTAACGGATTGACCCAAAATGATCCGTTATTTAACGGGTTCACCCCTTAGCAACCCCACCCGTTAAGCATCCACCCAAATACTAATATTAACGAATTGGGTCCAAAATGCCAGGTCTAGTTGTAATTCGGTTAATGCCACGCCACAAGTTGAAAGATATATTATCTCAAAACTAATAGATAATGACAGAGACATCCACAAACCATCAAATAATATAATAGTCACACATGTTTTCTGTGGTTTATTTATTTTTATATATACATGCGAGATTAGCATGTCCAATAGGTCACACAACAAGAATTAAACTTCATTGCCTAGCCTACTCTCCATGTATGCATGCCTGATTTTCAGAAAAATCTAATTGAAATTATGAGTTTCATTTTCATTCAATTCTGTTGTAAAAATAATAATAAATAAAAGAAAAACTAATGAAAAGGGTTTGAAAACTTTGAGTTTTAATGATAAGGATAAAATAAAGGGTAAAATGAATAGTACCATATTTGAATTTTTAGTGTAAAAATGTGATTTTTCGCTAAAGTGAACGATACCGCGGATTTTTCATTAAAACTCCCATAAATAAATAATGATAATAAATAAAAAACAATAAAATATTCAGAAAAGTTGGTAACTTACGTTTCAAAAATAGTTCGGCTCTTGAATATTGTGACATCCCACATCGTCCAGGGAAGTGATCCTTATATGTATATTCTCATCCCTATCTAGCACAAGGCCTTTTGGGAGCTCACTGGCTTCGGGTTCCATAGGAACTCCGAAGTTAAGCAAGTAGCGCGCGAGAGCGTTCCTAGGATGGATGACCCATTGGGAAATTCTCGTGTGAGTTCCCAAAAACAAAACCGTGAGGGTGTGCTGGGGGGCCCAAAGTGGACAATATCGTGCTACGGTGGTGGAGCAGGGTCGGGAAGTGATCCGCCCCGGGCGGGGATGTGACAAATATGCCCAACATTTTGAATTTTTTTTTACAATATACCCTATATGGTTATTAGATCGTATTTATTTTATCATAAAGTTAATCAGCGTAAATAATTTGAAACCTTAATACGTTCGTATAAAATATATTGAGATTATTAAAGTTTTTAGTTGTACATCCCAGTTACGATCCATATTATTTCAGAATTTTGAATGTCAAATTCCATTCGGGTGCACCAAAATTGAAAATTTTCGTTGCCAACTTGGTGAGAACTGATCAAAATCGAAATTTCCAATCCAACCTGCACATGTTCTCAATAATCTATAGGCTTGGACTTTCAAGCCCAAAGCTCAACACCTATGTATGTTGGCCCAACGTAAAATTAGGAGACCAAGATACCCTCCATTACAAAAGCCCTTCCGGTCAAACACGGTGGATACTGGATACGCAGGTTCAAATACAAACGGGCTTTCCCTCTTCGGACCTCAGTCAATGGCAGTCGCTCTGAGAAGCCTTGCAGCGGCATTCGGCTACTCGCCACATCTTCAATGCGTTCAAAGCTTGTTTCCGTTGCGCTTTGGAAATAGTTATAGTTCCTCTGTGTCGTCTGTTTCGTCTGGCATGCCCTGAACGTGCTTGTGAAAATGTCTCTGAGACAACATCTGTTTTGTCAGTTGTCACTAACCATTTCTGCACCTGCTCTGTATTTCATGATCAGAGGACGGTGCTCCGACCGTTCATCCAGAATTCCAACAATGGCATAACGGAGGTGGGTCTTTCCACAAGTCTGCCTGCATCGACCCAACAGTTTTCATAAGAGTTTGGTGCTGTTGTTCATTCAAAATCCGTTGTTGGCGAGCATGCTCGTATTGGTTCTGGAGCTGTCATTGGAATTTCGGTCGCTATTGTCAAATTTTTAACTCGACATTGCGACTCCACTAAACTGTGATAGCACTTCTGCCATTGCAATCACTAAGAACCCTATTTTTCACCGGAAGACTAAACACATCAACAGGAGGTATCATTTTATCAAGGAGGTTTTGCAGAATGAGATCATTGACTTGGTGTACTGCTCAACCAAAGAACAGGTAGCAGATATATTCACAAATGCTTTTGCCAAAGATCAATTCTGTCATCTCAGAGAGCTATTGGGAGTGAAATCAGTTCACAATTTAGGGGGAGTGTTGATGTACAAATTGATGAACTGATATGAAGAAGATTACAAGTTTTGATTAGTGTAATGCTTCAGCTCATAGGCTGAGCTTATGTGATCAAAATGTAATGCGT